CGAACTCATGTGGAAGCAGCTTAAGCTTCTTAGTGATGTGCTCTAACCTGCTGCGCCACCAGCGCCCATGCTGTTTCTTTATCAGTATTAACCTCCACAGTGCCAGCACCATTGCTATATTATGAACTGTTCCCTGATAGGTGTTACCTATCAGTAACATTCTTCACTAATTTTAGGGGTTTCAAATTTTCTTTCAGAGTTACTTGTATTTGGTTATTCAGTGATTTCTCAGTGTTTCCCAAGTGCTTAAATAGCCCTGAAATGTTCATTGTTTCTTATATTAAGTGTTACCAAGCACTTAATATGTGCCAAGCAAATAGTAAGTAAGATGGAAATTATATGCAGTGATTAAAAACAAATATTTAACTTCAGGCTAATTTGTTGTCATGTATTGAAGTCAGTATAGGAGGAATGCTTGTTTCCAGACTCCTCTGATAAGTCTCTTCTCATAGTACTTTGTTCTTTGGCCCATTATATCTATTCTCTTCCACTAAACTAAATTTCTCTTCTGCCAAAACAATGTAGATAAATAATGAAATCAAATGCACGGGGACCAAAGAAGGAGAATTTCAGAAATGAGAGGTAGAGATTTGGGCAAAGAACTTTTGTAAGCTATTTTAAAATTTGAACTTATGAGTTCAAGTTTCATCCATGCGAAGATTCTTTATAGAAAGAAAAAAAAAAGGAATGTTTTGGGATTGCCAGAATGTTGGTTATGAACTATGCTGGGTATTATCATGGGTTTTTTAAGCACAAAATACAGAAATCCTTTCATTCTGCAGGTTCCTCAACAGGGTCTCATAGTCTTATTGTTTCTCCAGAGAAATTGTCTATCAGCTCTCCATAATGGCTTTTTCATTCCTTCTCTTTTCAAATTTAGTTCCTTCAACTTTTTCCTCACATTGAGTACACAAGTTGTTCCTTCCTTCACAGAGGAAATAGAGGTCATCATGCTGGAAACCATCTATCATTGAGCACCACCTCTACTAATTTACCCACACCCACACCTATCTTTGCTCCTCATATAGCTACCTGTGTTGTGCATCCTATCTGTACCTGCCCTCTTAGAAATCTCACAGTCAACTCCTCCATTATCTCCATCCTTCCTCTTGTTGTCTCCTTCATACCAGTATTGAAACATGCCACCACGTCTCCCATCATAAATGTTCGTGCCTTCCACTCTAGTCGTTTCTTAAGCCACTTCTTTCTCTTCTTCGCTTCAAGCCCAAAATTTTCAGGTGTTAACCTATCAGTACTCCATTACCCAGATGCTTCATTTTCCAAAATCTGGCTTCTGTTTCTAAATGAATCAGACCACCATCACCTATGAGCTCCATTTTTCTAAATCCAGTGACATATCTTACCTTATTTAACAGTGATAAGCATTCCTTTTTGAAATGTTTCTCTTCAGTATTTATGACTTTATATTTTCCTATTTTTTCTCCTTTTGTTCTGGTCATGCTGATCTCTTGCTAGTTCCTAGTCCAGGCTCCATTTGTCACTCTCCCAACTTTTTCTGGGCAAATCACTCACTCACAGGGCTTTAATTACTAGCTATATCCTGATGACTATCAAATTTTGCTAGCCCAGATTTCTCTGCTAAATTCCAGTGCCCAAAGGCACCAAAAATTAAATCTCTACAAACTTGAGTATGGCCTTTATATCCATCACATTTTGCCATTCCCTTTGTCATCACCTTAATTCAGGTACCTGTCACTTCAGGCCTAAAGTATTAGTGACACCTCCAAATTTACCTCTACCTTCCATTTTATTTCCCAAAGATTTCATTTTGCTTATTACTGCCTCAAGATAATTGTTCTAATATATTCTACTGTAATTGTGTCAGTCACTCACTTCAAAACTTTAAATGAGTCCCCACTGCCTTCGGGCTAAAGTCCCACTTCTTTATACTCCTCTTTCCCTCACCTACTGTATCTAGCCCATTAACCTGATCTCTGCTCTATCTCTAGAATATATTCTCTTCCAGACACTTCTCACTACTTCTGCTATGGTCTCTGCTGCTATCACCAGGCCATAATCATCACTTGTCTGGAATACTACATCAAGTCTAACTGGTCTGCTTATTTCCACCATTGCCCTGCTATGATTCATTATTCATACATATGACAGAGTGATTTGTTTTAAAGTGTAAATCAAATCATATCACTACTTTCTTTAAAATTTAAATGGTTTCTCATTGTAATTAGAATAACATCCAGACTCCTAAAGAGAATAACATATAAGTCTATATGATCAGCATCCTATCAATCCTATCAGGCTTGTACTCTACCAACCTGTATGTCACTCACTGAGCCATAAACACATAAGCTTCTTTAATACCAAAACCCACTGTATTCACCCTTATTTTTCCTTATGACATTCCTCTGCCTGAAATGTTTTTTCTTCAAAATGTCACATGGCTAATGCTTTCTCATAATTTAAGTGACAGCTCAAATGCTTCCTCCTCAGAGGAGCTTCCCCTGACTACTATGACTAAAGCATGGCTACTTTTCCGCTTATCTCCTTACATATATAGTCTGTCACCCCTTCTCTCATCCTCCTGGAATGTGAGTGCCAATACTCTTGCCAAGATTTTGTCAGAGATACTAGTTCTTTCATTTCAGTTACTTGTTTATCTGTCAATGCATTCATTGCTCTAATTTTTAAATTATTTGACCTTTATTGAGGACTTGTTTTTTCGCAGATGCTATGGTAATCACTAAGTATGCATGATGAATTAACAAGACCCTTGTTCTTGAGCAGTTTAAATCTGCAATAGTCATTTTCAGACCTGGGGTCCTCATTTAAAATGCATATTACCTTTTTTCCCACTACAAGAAATTTCAGCTCAGAAGGACTAGGAATCTGACCATTGAAAAGCACTAGATAATTCTAACATCATGATCAAGCAAGTCATCCTCTACCAACAACACACTTCATACCCTGCCATTGCAGTTTTCTCTGAAAGAGTATCTGCCTTTTTGAAATGGATACCCAGTGGCTTCTTGATGCACTCATGCCTGAACCCTTTCTGAATATTTTCTTAGCTTTCTTTTGAGACTTCCCATATTTGAGACACACTTTGTATGTTGTTGTTCTACGCATAACTTTACTCCTTTGGTGATATGAAATACTTCCTGTGATTTCAATGACCACTTTTAGTCGAATGCCAATTAAATGTTTCCCCCCATCTTTCTATGCCCTAGACATAGGGCATAGGCAGCATAGGACTGCCAAATGGACACCTTCCTCTCTTAAGTGTCCTCATCATCAACACTGCCTTCATGACATGCCTATGCCATATGTATGTCTCCTCACAGGGAGGGGCTACATTGCAATTAGAATAGTGAGCTGTAATACATTATTTCATATGTTCTTTTATTTATAAATAAGGCCCCAAGTCCTTTTCATTATACCCTCTTGCTGTCACATAACTTGTCCCTTTTTAGCCTCACTGTCACCACAGTAGCATCTCCCCTAGGTTACAGCAGTGATCTCCTAGCTCATGTCTAGTCCCTTGTCAGCCCCTTGTCCATAGTCCTGCCATCATGATATGAAATGTAAATTCAGTCATATCTCATTTGCCTTACTAACTTTTCAGTTGCTCCTCATTCCCTAAAACAAACACTTAAGCTCCTTTAACATGATCCAATCTGTCTTTGGAGAAAATGAGGTTTGGGTGGTAAGCAGTCTCCTCCATCC